CCAAATTGGTTGCCTGTGTGCAAGCATTGTAAATATAAAGACCATTTGAACTGAACAATAAAATGAATGAATAAAATATAGAGCTAAACTTTAAATTAAATGTAAAAAGTAATTAAATTGGAATTCTTGTAAAGTCTATAGACATTTTCTTTTTAGGGAGCAATATTAGGTCTCAGTGCTGCAAAAATAGTATGTTCCCTTGGGTGAATGGCTGGTTGAGCAAACAAATAGCTGGAGTGCCCTCTAGTGAATCTGGTGGGTACTCGTAATACCCTTGGGTACAGCTATCTTGTAACATGGAGGATGAGTAAAATAAATAACATGACAATTTTCATTTTTTGGGCGAACTATCCATTTAATCTGTATTCATGTTAATAAACTTAATATCATTTGAATTTGTATGTTCTTCTGTTTAGTTGAATAGTTTAATAACATACACAATACATTTGCAAAGTACTTTTTCATGATTCTCATGGTTTACAAAAGCTGAAAGAGTATTTGCTTTAATGCCAACTGCAGATGTTTTTGGCTAAAAGGGAGCTGAATAAAGTTGTGACCTAATCAGAAATGTTGGACTCTGCTATTTTCATGTTATATCAAGCAAGTTCATACTATGCTAAATCATACTAATTTTTGATTGCAGTAATGATTTCAGCAAAAACAGTTATATGGTTAATTAAACTGCAGACACTGAATGCTAAGAATGAAACGTGAAAGTGTAAGCTATTAAGGTAACTTGGTTATATTCACACATTCATTCAGTGACAACTTGTGATACACTCCCTATATTGTTTACCACGACACTTTGAATATTCGGTCTGAAATAACCTGCAAGTGTGACTTGAAAACAACATTAACACTGTTTCATTTGACTGTGAACAATGCTGTATTTTGACAGTCATTGGCTTCTAATATGATTTCGCTATTTAGTTTGCAAAAAATACTTATATTATTATATTATTAAGGAGAAAGTCTGAATGTGCGAATATAAAACCAACATTACCTCTATGTGTAAGTTTACATACTCTGTCGTGCAGGTGCAGTTCGCTGTCAGAATGCAGTTGTTTTGCTTTTTGATGTTTAGCCAGGCCTTGTACAGCTCTGTCAGCTTTCCTTGTCTTTGGCTATGCAGAACCTCAGTTTTAGCACTACATAGTTTTAAATCTGGTAATCATGGAACATTATTTCTTGCATGTGACCACAAAGAACAACATTGCTTGCATTCAAAGACTTGTAGACCTTTAACTTCTCTTTTGTAAAATCACTTGGAGCTTCAATGAGATTGTATATTTGGGGCTGGATGCTTGGTCAGTTCGTCATATCCAATATTCATTGGGAGGGTGCTATCACAAATGGACCTGTCAGATGAACGCCTCTCATTTTAACATTAATTTTGCAGAACACTGTGCTTATCTGTTATAATATCTTAGCTGTTATAATCTGCTGAAAGCATTATGTAAATAATATATATATATATAATATGTAATCAATGTATCTTATTTCTAAGACAACAACAAACTCTGTACCGCATCGGATGCCATTCCCTCACTGTAAATGCTAGTGCTCGCGTTTTTTTTCCTGCCACCTCCCTGCGTGCATCCTAAATGTTTACAAACATAGTAATTTGTCTATAAGAAGGGGTGTCAAACTCAATTCCTGGAGGGCTGCAGCCCTGCAGTTTCTAACGCTGCTAAAATCGCACTTACCTCCATGTTTCAAACACGTCTGAAGGACTCAATTATTTTGATCAGTTTTGTTTAATTAGCGTTAAAACTGTACAAAGCTGTGACCCACCAGGAACTGAGTTTGACACCAGTGCTCTATGCTTGCAGTTATGAATTCAGGTCTACTGTAACATGCAAGTTGCTGTATGTACACACATACATAATCTTTTCCATTAAAGTCAGCCCAGTAATTGGTTGCATTGGAATAGCTGGCCTCTCTGCCCTTGTGTATGTGCATGCATGAGTGTGTTTGTTTGTTTGTTTGTTTGTTTGTGTGTGTGTGTGTGTGTGTGTGTGTGTGTGTGTGTGTGTGTGTGTGTGTGTGTGTGTGTGTGTGTGTGTGTGCATGTCCTGGTATTTATGTTTTGGGGACCAAATGTATAAAAAAACTGTAATTTGTGAAGTTCTAGAGAAATGTTTTGATTCACATGAGAAAAATGGCTCATAAATCAAACATAATGAACTATTTTGAAAATGTAAAACTGCAAAGTGTTGTTTTTTGGGTTTAGGAGTAAAGTATGACAAGTATTATGTCTAAGAGAAGTACCCATAAAACATGAAAAATCTAACATATACACTATGTTTTTGTGCTTATGTTAAAATTACTAATATATCCAAATTTGTAGTGATGCTATCACATTCTGCACCTATAAGAGGTGTTACTTTAAATAATATGCTTGTTTGGTTCTGTATACAGGTTTTAAGTTTGCTTTCGTTCTGCATTTTTCAACTTTTATTGACATATTACTCATATTAAGCATTTCTAATTTGATATTCTAATTTAGCTCTTAATAAACAGATCTTTCATTATTATGACTGAGGGAGAGCTAAATATAAATTTGAGGCATTTACAAATCCAGAGAGAGATAGTGCTTTTTTAAAAGTAGGAACAGGATGACTACTTAGTTTGTCTGTTACAGATTGCAAATGACTTTCTCCAGAACTTTTACAAAAAAAAAAAAAGTAATCAAAAAAATAGGCATTACAAGTAAACATGTTGGCTTTACAGTAATTTCAAAGCAAAATATCCTGGGGGCCTATATTAGAAAATAATACATTGAAGAGATGTCATTACTGTGACTTAAAAACAGATCATAATTATTATTTTTTTACAGCTTCAGTTTAAGTAAACTTTTGTATTTAACTATAATTACACAGCATATTTCATTAAATAATTCAATTTAATATTATCTTGTACATGTTAAGCATATTGGGAACATACAAACATACAAGTCAGGACATCAAGTCAATTTACAGTTGAAGTCAGAATTATTAGCCCCCCTGAATTATTTACCACCCTGTTTAATTTTTTCCCCAATTTCTGTTAAATGGAGAGATTTTTTTTCAACACATTTCTGAACATAATAGTAAAACTTCTTTAAATTTTTAAAATTTCTTTTATCTTTGCAATGATGACAGTAAATAATATTTTACTAGATCTTTGTCAAGACACTTACACAGCTTAAAGTAACATTAAAAGGCGTAATTAGGTTAATTAGGGTAATTAGGCAGGTAAGGGTAATTAGGCAAGTTATTGTATAATGATGGTTTGTTCTGTAGACAATCGAAAAAAATTATTAGCTGAAAGGGGCTAATAATTTTGTCCCTAAAACGTTTTTTTTTAATTAAAAACTGCTTTTATTCTAGCCAAAATAAAACTAATAATTTAATAATTTACAAATAATAATAATTCTGACTTCAACTGTATATTTCTAGCACCTTATACATTGCTAAGTGTATCAAATCCATTTTGCAATGGGAAGACCTATGCCTCACTGACAAAGGTCCAGAGTTTGTCCCAAACATGAGCTCTTTAACTCTTTAATTTGTTTTTATTTAACAGGTATTACATCATAAATTGTAAAAATAACTCTTCAAAGAAGGCTTTAAGACCAAGAAGAATCTGATGTCATCTTTTACTGACCTACTGTATTTTTGTTAAATATCGTACAAGTAACTTTTATACTGAATAGTGGACCTTATTCTTGAAAGAAAAGAAAAAGACCAATACATTTTAATACTAATTAGGCTATTGTTGCTATCCATCTATTTCATGTACTTTTTTACAAGAGTGGCTTAAAATTTAAGGAAGCTTTAAACTATTATTATTAATAATTTTACTATTATTTTCTACGTTTAATTTTTATTGTACAAGTGGACAAATAAAGTTGGATGGACTGGCTAGTTTGCCTAATAAATGACAATAGACTACTTAGCTTTAATAGGCAGTTTTTTTTTATTCAAAACTTTAACAGATTCCCTTTTTCCTAATGATATATGATGTAATAAATTTGTATTTTAAAAATAGTATGTATAAATACTTTTGTTTCATATTTCTTTATTCTAAATCTTTGGGAAATGTTTTAGTACATCAAAAGGTGTGGTTATGATTACCACCGGACAAGCTAATCCAGAAAAAAAAAATTGTGCTGTGACTAAAATGCAGTTTTTAAATCTTATTAAATAGAAAATTAGGTGAATAACTGGAAAAGGTGCAGTTTTTGAAATAAAGAACCACCTCTTTCACAAGGCTGGCTAGTGGCTACGGGCCTGAATACTGTAATTCTTGTTTGATTGAAAATGTGTATTCTGTCCATACCATATGCTATACTGGACCGACACACACCTTTATAAAAGAAATTGCATTTAAACAAATATCCTGCAGTAATTGGGAGACCAATGGCCAAAATCTTTTTGAGAAGTCAAAGGGAGAACATTACTTTCCAGATAACTAACTTGCCTTCCATTCCCTAAGGCCGTCTTTTTTCTAATCTTTAGAAGTCGGTGAGAAACTGTCACAAATACAGCATTTTGATATAAAGGCTTTCATGGTTGCAAAAGTGCAGTTTCACAATGAATCATGCAATACACGCACGATACAAACTGGTGTTGTTGCAAAGAGAGGAAGTGAAATTGTGAGGTTTGTTTATTTTGCGTGTAGTGTGGTGCAATGTCACCTCCGACTTCCCCTAACGACGTCTAGAGTAATTTCATTGAGATCAAAAATGTATTACGTTTGGTTTCCCTTTATATTTCGTTGTTTTCTTCTTATTTTTCCATCAACTTTCCAAACGAACGCGCTTGCCGTTGCCACAGTGATTAGGTGTACCTATTTATGCAAATAACCTAGGCAGGAACCAATCTACAGCATTTCAGCTCCGCTCACAGGACCTCCCCTGAGGTCGGTTGCTTGGCAACAGCCACAGAGATTGAGAAGTCGAGAGTAGGAGTGGCTGGGGAACTCACAACTGCTGTCAGAGCTTCTGTGTGTGAGTGTGTGAGGAGGAGGCTGTTCGGTCAAGTGAGCAAGAGTTGTGCTGTGTTTGCAAACGTTTTGGAAACGAATATATTCATTCAGTCGATAAGCAGACGAAGAGGAAGCATAAACATCCTCTCTCAATTTCTTGGATGTGGGTAAAAATATTGATACAGACGCTGTGAAGGAGGCCTCACCTGTTGGATTTGACTTGGTTGACAGTAACATCAGAAGTGGAGTGTGAGGAGTGAACAAAATCATGGTCCCTCGTCTGTGAGAGACAGGGTAAGATGAGCTCTTTTTATTTCGTTCGACAGGAAAGGAATATACATTGGACATGAAGAAAAAGAAGAAATGTGCAAAGAAGAAATGTGGAGGATTTTATAGTTTTGTTGATCTCACGCTTGCCACTTTTCAAACTGCTTCATCCCCCAATTCTATCTCGTGCCCGTATGCATACTCTCTTGTAACCTGTACCATCTAATTCTTACTGTGTGATTGCCCTTACTCCGATGATAACAAGATTAATTGTAAATTGAGGGCAGCTGCAGCTTTCTATGTTTTAAAACGAATCATTTAAAGTAGCAAGACGTAATCAAATCGTCGGTTTCTTCTTTCTTTTTTCTTGACATCCTTATGCTCGTGAATGCTAACCTGGGAGTTTCTACACCACTATAACTACATTTAGTTGAATATATTCATGATATTTTGCCAATTCTGCCTATGGTTATAGTCTGCTTATACCTGACAATGATCGTGTCCCTGAAACATCTAGGTCAGAATGCATCACACGTAACTAGATCAGCTTGAGCCATGATACCATTAAAACGTGTTGTGGGTTTATGTGATGGATTTCAGTGTTTTCCTCTGAGTTGTATTTAGAGTGTCAGCTGTCTATTTTGTCTCTAATGATGATTTAAACAATAAATGCATAACTGTAAACAAAAGTATGTTAAAAATAAATTGCTAATCTAAACGTGTTTCAGCCAGCTGGTGTGGCTACACTGCTGTTCACATTTATCAATTTGCTGACATTTGCTATCACCTGTCATTCACCCCTCTGAACATTCTCTCTCCTCTTTCTCTCTGCTTTTAGATTCAAGTCTGCTAAATATAGACACAACAAGACTGTTCAAAGTTGAATTCGTGGTTGAAATTAATTGTTCATTTAGGTTTTACTCACTTAGTGTATTTTTAAATACTACACCTAACTTTCTGATAATTAATTTTAAACTTTTTAAGAAACAACTAAGATTTGACATTCAAAACAACATTTATGTGACATTCTGATCTTTCCAAAAATAGTTAAGAAATTATGACTTTTCTTGCTTTGATATCTGCTTTCAAACATTCTCTTGAAAGCATTTCAAGTCTTTACTATATCTCTTTAAATTATCTCTCCCACACTACAACTTAGCTTGAGTTACTGCTTTAGCACAGTGCAGGTTTCAGTGCTCTGCTTGTAAAGTGCAATGTGGTCCGTTAATGCAATCTCTCTATACAAAGGCTGATAGAATGTTTAAGTGGAAATGGGGAAAAATATCTGTACAGCAGCCTAGAACATGTACTCAAATACACATAGCACTTTGTGCAAACTATATGTCTATATTTTTCATGTTGTCATTATATTTTGCTGATACATACATTGTGATTATTTGGGAAGTAAACCTGGTCTTGGTAGGAATTTTTTTTTGCTGTGGTAAAACCCTAGTTTGGGCACGTCATGTATTTCTTTGGATTGCAAAAAGAGCAGAGCATCTCAGGGTGGTGACTCATTGGTTCCTGTGTATCAGCTTGGCCTTGACAGATTTTTTTTAACATTTTTTTTTCCCTGGGTGTGTGTGGGAGTGAAACATTTCTCAGCAGAGTGAGAAATGTGAATTAGCATGAAACATTTTTTGTAATAATGCTAAAAAAAGAGGGAAATGCACTATGCTGTTTTAAACTTTGCTGATTTTAAATTTAGAATAAGGAAACATACTATAAGATGGCTTATTTTTATGTAGAAACAAAATTTATGTACACAACGAAATTAATTTTCAAGAAGCTTATGACAAATTAATTATCAAATTGTCTTAGCTTTTTTGTTCAGACTTTTAAAATGCATAAAGGACAACTTAAAATGTGATTCTATTGTAACATTGCAATTTTTGTTTGATGAAACTCTTAACACCTGTTTTTTTTTCTTTAATTTAAAGTGTTTGTGGTTCAATTTTAAAGTTTAGCCAACTTGAAACGTGAAGCTATTTACAAAATATTAAATCAAATGATCTTCAATATTTCAATCTAAGAAAATTTTTTCTAATGCTAAATTTGAAAGTAATTGCTAATGCATTTTTAACAGTACAGTTTCTGTAGCTGAGCTTTGACTCAAAACATTGATGTCTATTTGCTATGAATTTGCTATATATGCATAGAAAAATTAAATTGAGGGTATTATGATTGATTATTAATTATAAGCTAAGCTGTTAATAACTTGGAAATTATACCAGGCAGGGATATTTATATTTAAGGTCAGAATGGGCAAACTCGCTCCTGGGGGGACGGTGTCCTGCAGAGTTTAGCTACAACCATATTTAAATACACACCTGCCTGACTGTAGATTATAAAGACACTGATGGTCAGGTGTGATTGATTAGTGTTGTAGCAAATATGCAGAACAGCAGACCTCCAGGACTGAGTTTGCCTGTCCCTGGTATAGGAATTCCGAATATCCAAATCTGCTTCAGTTGCACACATTCTGACTGTGGAAGAAAAAAAAATATATATAATCTCATAATGATTTTACCTTCCAAGTTTCTTTTGTTTTAAATCTGGGCTGCCCCAACTGGGTCATGGATCCTGAAGAGTTTAACTCCACATCTGCCGAGTAACCTAGTCAATAGTATTTGGATGCAGCCTTTATGATGCAAGCTGAGATTGCATCACTCAGTTATGCAATGTCAGACACAATGCACTGAATGGAGTGAGTGACGTCACTGTGACGAGTAGGGTTAGGGGAGCGCATTTAAAAGCATCTAATGCAGCTCAGATTGCACTGCACCAGGCCTGCATCCAGACCTCTCTTAACCTAGTAGAGCTTGATTGCCTGGCTCTGGTGTGTCTGGGTTTGGAGCTAAGCTATGCAGGACCAAGTTTGGGATCCCTTGTTTTAGATCATTTGATGGCCTGCCTAAACCAGTTTGTTATTTTGACCAGGTATGTCCAAGCTCGGTCCTGGGGGGCCGGTGTCCTGCTGAGTTTAGCTCCAACTTGCTTCAACACACCTGGCAGGAAGTTTCTAGTGCATCTAGCAAGAGCTTGATTAGCTGGTTCAGGTGTGTTTAATTAGGGTTGGGTGTTTTTGATGGTTCACTCTGCTGAAATGTAGCCTGTTTTTCCAAGATTGAGGCAGGTGGAGATGTGGAGAAGTTTGTGCCTCTCATTTAATGTAAATGTGAAGGGACATTTCTGCCATTTCTAGTCAGGCCTTGAACATATGTGCAGTTTCCACACATTCATTTAGAGCATTGTGAGCAAGTAAATGTTTGACTCACAGTGTACGTTTCCTTCCTGCAAAGCTTTTAATATCATGTTTCAAGCTGCAGTGGGCTGTGTGCGTTTATAATCAGGTGCTCAAACACAGGTACACACTCATGCCCTGCTGTTACAAGACAGTCTAGTTATTTTGCAAGCAATAAGATCTCTGTTCATCCATTCTAAGGATTCATATACTGATGTTTCATGAGTTGTTGTTTTTGTGCTATTATATACACACCACAAAATATGTAAAAGTTTGTATTGCTTATGAGAGAGAAAGAGGATATGAAGAACAAATGGTGTCGTGTGTGCGTGCGTGCGTGCGCACGTGCGTGTGTTTGTGTGCATGTGTGTGTGTGTGTGTGCGCGTGCGAGCGAGTGTGCACAGTTTTTGTGTCTGACTGACATTTTGTATCCCTGCCCCCTCATGTTCAGCACAATAGAATATTAAAAGAGATCTTTTTTTTTCCTTTCTCACACATGACACATGCACACCCACCTCCTGTGTGCTCGGCTTACAAGAGTGACTGTTAGTTGTAGAGCCAGTTTTGAAAACCACAGAATCAGTTCCTAATTAATGAAATATTGGGAAGAGGTAACACTTTTGCACTTCTGTGCATTGTTTTATATATGACATACAGTGTGCTACTTGTTGTTCTTTCTGTTGATCTGTAAAGTTTCCTTTTATTTGTTTTTGTCTATTTGCCACACTGTACTGTCTTTTTGTTCTATTCAAATGGAATAAACAGTCATAAAGCAGATTTATTAAATGAATACATTTTGATTGTGAAATCTTACCAAATTTGGCATAATATACATTTTTTATAGTAAATTAGGCATGTTCAACAACTAAAATGCTGCAAAAAAACTGTACAATATCATGTTATGTGAAAACAGTATTGATAATTAATACAATTAAAATGACAATTAATAGTTTATGGCTCATGAATAAATTAATCCTAAAATGAAAAGCTCAACACATTGAACACTAGATTAAAAAATAAGAGATTTTTCTTGTAAATATGTCACTAGTCACTGTTATTAATGTAAATGTAATACTAATTAATGTAATCTAATGTAAAATGCCAAATGGCTAAATTTGTGATCATCGTAGACAAGTGCAGCTCTCACTGCTAAAGACCTTAATCTGTAAAGACATCTGTGCATCATAATTATTTCTGTTCTTACTAACATGATTTGTGTTTTTTACTGTATGCAATCAGGACAGGTCAGGCTACCCATCATCATGTCTATTCAAGAGTGTCCAGAGAGCCCAATGCTGGAGGGTAAGGAAGGCAGAGGGGTGGAGAGAGATTCGGACAGAGACAGTGCAGTAGACAGTGCTTCAGAGATATCAGATGGAGGGAGAACTGGAGAAAAAGAGGAAGGGATTGGGCTTTGCCTCCCAAGAGAAAAGTGTGTGTGTTTTTTTTTTTTTTTTTTGTATTTTTATTTGTATTTTTTTGGTTTGTTTTAGTACTGTACGTAAGGTTGGACTGAACGATTATTGCTTTTATGGATGATGTAAAGTGACAATCTAAATCTGCACAAAATAACATGCCAATTGTATTTCTCATCTGCAGGGGTGATCTGATGCATAATCATTTTGAGATTTCTGATCAGTCTGCACTTTCATCTGCCTCATTAAATGAAGAGCAGTTTGAGGACTATGGAGAAGGTGAGGATGGAGACTGTACTACAAGTAGCCCCTGTCCAGATGATGAGATCCGCATTAATGGATGCTCAGATCTGGGGTCTTCAGTTTCCTCCAGGTAAATGTTTTTGTGTGCTTTCTCAAATTCTCTGTTTTTTTTTTTTGGGTTTTTTTTTTTTTGTCTCTGACTGTCTGAGTGCCCCTAAGCCTGTTTTCAGACGGATTTACTTTAAAATGAAAGAATGATCCATTTATAAATCCACACATCAACCTTCATTATGCAGGATGCATATTAGTTAATAAAACTCTGACTGTGGGAAACCTTTTCATTCAGAAAGACACAGCATTATGATGACAAATACCCAAAGGCAAGATCTGTTCAAACGTGTGGGTGTAGTAAAGAACAGTACCTTTTTCATTAAAGGTGCAGTAGGTGATCTGCCAAAATGCTAACCGCTTAGCATATTATCTTTGGACAGCGAGGAGGGACTGTGATTCAAAGCCACACCCCTTGAAATCGTGAGCACGCGCACTGCGTCACAACAGCAGACAGACAACCCACTAGTTCATGTCCTTCGCCAGTTAGCGAAGGACAGTTAGCATTTTAATTAAATTTATTATTTAGCCACACTTACCTGCTATTTAGCGAATATCCAGTGTAGCATGGTAAACAGTATAGGAAGGCTCATTGTTCAAAAGTGACCCAATGTGAATATAAAAGCAACTTCAGCTCACTAAAGCAGATTAGGCGGAATAGTGCTATTTACTGATGATTTGTTGTTAAACTAAATATAAATCTACATTATCAATGCTGTAATAGGACCTTATGAAACTGAAAATAATTCAGCATTTGATATCTCCCGGTCTGTGTATGTCTCGTGACCGCGCGGCACTTATGCAGACAGGCACGCGCGAATGAACAGATGCGCAGAAGTCTACTGAAGTCTACGATTCTACATTTGCTGACAAACAGTTTGAGCTGCTAATTGGAATTATGAGTGATGTCGGTCCGACAATATTTTATTGGATGAACATTTTTTAGTTTTATGCCTTACCCCGAATATAAAAATACATATACACACGTTTAGATCATTTACTGTAATCATTACTATTGGACTATGAAGAGACTTTCAACCAGCACAACAAAAAAATGCTTCTGAAGACAATCACCTGCTGCACCTTTAACATAGCACAGAGTACACATTTTTCATTTATTTTGTTAAAATGCAGTTTACGTATTTCAAATGTTAACCTTTTCCCAACACCAATATCTTGTCGTATTAATTAATTTTTTTAAATGGAAACATTTTGCTTTTGCTGTCTGGTCAGTTATTTTGTCTTATTTTTATTTAACATACAGTGCACCCGGAAAGAATTCATAGTACCTCACTTTTTCCACATTTGTTTATGTTACAGCCCTATTCCAAAATGGATTAAATTAATTGATTTCCTCAAAATTCTACACACAAAACCCCATAATGACGATGTAAAAAAAGATTTTTTTTAAATTGTTGCCAATTTATTAAAAATAAAAACCTGAAAAATCAAATCTACTTAACGTCACGTTAGAATTATAAGGTTCTATTTGACATTTTTGTCAATTGAGTTATTCACATATTCTTATTAAATGACAAATTATTTACATTATCTGATGTTTTTTATAAACGTGTTTACATTTTAAGACTTTTTATTTAAAAAACCACAAAAACATTTTATTTACAAAGTCAAACTGTAGTTTGGCTCTATGAAGTGCTTTCTGCGAACCAATTAGCATTTTAATGCGCGTACAAAGATCAGTCAGGATTAGCTTCTTTGTCATTTCGCCGGATTGCTCCATTGACAGCGGGAAAGACCAGAAAGACAAAATCACACAAAATCACAGTCAACTAAATAATGCTGCACCACACAAAATTGGGATGTGTGTAAATCTGATGATTTAGAAGCATTTTATGACATTGAGATGAAATGTTAAATTTTACATTGTTGATAAAAAAACAAATAATAAGTTTTTTTTATATTAAATGTATTTATTATTTTTTATAAAATTTTATTTTTGTAAATATAGTCAGTGAAACATTTTTCAGTGTTCATTAAACTCATTTGCTCATTGTCTTTTTTTATGTCTTTAAATGTGATATTAAACATTTAAGGGCAAATACTTATAATAATTCATGGCACATCAATAAATATAATTCAATAATTCATATAAACCATAAAATTCAATAAATATTACCATATTAATCACATAAAATTAACATCTGCACTGGACAAAGTATTTAGCACAGCCTTGTATGCTTAATTTGAACAAGAAAAACATTCATCTTAAAACATTAAATAAATGTTATAGAAAGCAAAAGTGTAACTTTCTCGAGCATTAACATATTGTTACAACACTTATAACTTTTTGGATTGTATTTCTTTAAAAATAATGCTTCAATAAATGATCTGCCAGATAGAACCTTATTATTCCAAGTGGAAAACAACATTTCAGAATTAGAAGGGTCCATCTGCATTTACCATGTTTTTTTTTACTCCATTTTGCAAATGTAAGAGATCTTTGATAATTTACATTTAGAGTATATTTAGGGTCTCTGTCATGTTTATGTATAAAACAGAAATGTTAAACACATATTGTTTGCTTTATGGAATGCAAGAACTTTGAAGCTCAATATCTTTGTTCTAAGGTGACAATAAGTATTCACAGCCTCAATACTTTGTTGATGCACCTTTGGCAGCAATTACAGCCTCAAGTCTTTTTCATTATGATGCCGCAGGCTTGGCACACCTGCCTTTGGGAAATTTTGCCCATTCCTCTTTGCAGTACCTCTCAAGCTCTTTCAGGTTGGATAGGAAGCGACGATGTACAGCCGTTTTCAGATCTCTCCAGAGATGTTCAATAGGATTTATGTCTGGGCTCTGGCTAAATGAAACATCGCCCCAGTCTGAGTTCAAGAGCACTCTGAAGCAGGTTTTCATTTAGGGTGTCTCTGTACGTTGCTGCATTCAACTTTCCCTCTATCCTGACTTACAGTCTTACCCCCCCATTTGGTTTTCTCCAAATGTAATGCCTGGCATTCACCCCAAAGAGTTCAATTTTAGTCTCATCAGACCAGAGAATTTTGTTTCTTATGATCTAAAATTCTGGGCGGGGAGTGGCTTCCGTCTGGCCACTCTACCCTACAGGCCTGATTGGTGGATTGCTGCACAGATGGTTGTCCTTCTGTAAGGTTCTCCTCTCTACACAAAAGAACGCTGGAGCTCAGACAGTGTGACCATCAGGTTATTCATTACCTCCCTGACTAAGGTCCTTCTCCCACTCAGCTTAGATGGCAGGCCAGCTCTAGGAAGAGTCCTGGTGGTTCCAAACATCTTCTACTTATGGATGATGGAGGCCACTGTGCTCATTGGAACTTTTAGAGCAGCAGAAATTTTTCTGTAATCTTCTCCACCCTTGTACCTCGAGGCAATCTTGTCAACCCTGGGACCTTGTATAGACAGGAGTATGCCTTTTCAAATTATGTCTAATCAACTGAATTTACCACAGGTGAACATTTCAGGAATGATCAGTGGAAACAGAATGTACCTGATCTCAATTTAGAGCTTTACGGCAAAGGGTGTGAATATTTCTGTACATGTGATTTTTCAGGTTTTTTATTTTTCATAAATTTGCAACTATTTCAAGAAATCTTTTTTCACATTGTCATTCTGGGGTATTGTGTGTAAAACTTTGAGGAAATAAATGAATTTAATCCATCTTGTAATAGAGCTGTAAAAAAAAGTGAAGCGCCATAAATACTTTCCGGATGCACTGTATAAATAAAATAGATGCTTGTGCAAAGTTTAAATTAATGGAACACTAATCTATTCTGTATTCAAATTATATCCCAGAAGATAAATGTTTTTTTTTTTTTTTTTCTTTGCTTAAATGTGGATGTTTGTGGAGCTTTACAAGTTACTACTACTTAATACAACTAACTCACAATGATATTGGTCATGCATAATAGTGGCTGCATCTATTGTAAGTGCTTAAATTGATTGTGAACATATCTAAATTTCATTTAGAAGCTCTAGTTAAAATGTGCTAAAATAATAGGCAAAACTAACTGCTGAGAATCTGCCTGACGCTTCTGTGATGAGTAGATTTGTTCAAAATTCACTGTAAAGGGGTTCTTGCTTCTAGTTTTATTTTGTAGAAACTATTTCTTGGTGTGTTTCTTACAATTACTTTTATTTTTAATAAATGTTTTTAAAAAAATGCACATTTGATATGCCATATATGTTTGACCTTTTTTTTTATCTCTTACTTTTTTCTTTCTTTTCTTCCTTCCATCCACCAGTGCTGGTCAAACTCCTCGAAAGATCCACCATGTGGATGACCAAATGGAGGTGTTTTGCTCTCAGTGTTGTAAAAGGGTCAGTCTGCTCAGTGACCTGGAGAACAGGCTGAAAAATCTCAAAACCAGCAGGTACAGATACAGTTAATCTCTTATGAAATATAGAGTTGTAAAATTATTTTGCATCTAGAGTGGTTTGTCATATGTTGTGTTTAAGGCATTGGTTGTGCACCAAGTTAAATCTCTGAGCTAGGGGACTTTCTGTACTGATCTAGGGTCACCTGGTTTTGTTCCATGTTGGTGTCATTTGAAATCAAAAGGTGATGTGGCTGTTTCTGTGGTTGGCCACAAGCCTTGGAAAAGTCTCCCCATATCTTCCGAGATCTGCTCTATTACTGGACATTTTTAAGTGGACAAATACAGCACATTGGGCCAGTTTATATTGTGTTAAAATGTGCTTTTTAGTTGAATGCTGTTGTTGCTGCTTTAAGTTCATATTCAAAAAGACTTTTCTAGTTTCTCTTCAGTCATGTAAAATGAGTGACTTCATAGAGCTGGGAAATACACCTTATTCTGCTGGAATCCACATCAGAGGCACACTAGGATTCATTTAAATTATTTGTTCTTTAAGGTGTTCCTCAAAGAGTTAATGTGAGGATGAGACACTGTTAACACCGCTAAAGTAGAGGGGCTCTGAGATCTTGCTGCAGTCTCTCTGTACCTCTAACAATTTGCTCCCTTTTCCCTAGATAATTCAGCCCACGACTTTAGAACCTATTATTTATTTATTTACTTACTTCATTATTTATTTTTTATTAGCCTTATTAGAGATCTGGAAGTGAGCTACACACACATCCCTATGCTAATCTGTCTCTATGCAGTCTTTAATTTGTCATGTCTCTGTTTCTGCATCTTTCTACGTCATTTCTCTTTCTCCGCATCTGTCTGCATCTACATCCGCACATGAACAAACAGGCATGCTTTGGATACTGAGTATTTGTAGAGAATCAGGAGATTCAACCAGATCTTCTTCTTTCTTTTCTTCACCCCTGCTGGTTTCCAAGATTCAGTGAGTTTTCTTTTACTTTATGTTCACATATTTAATTAACCTGACAAATCTTAGCCTCAGGAAAGTCAGACAGGAGGTAGAAGAGGAGGAAGGAGAAAAATGAAAGGATGATCTGTGGAATAGAATGGAGGAATGAAAGCTAAATGCACTGTCAGCAGACTGCTTAAAGAAATGCCTTGTTCTGTTACTGCTGGAAAAGGTGGTGTCAGCAATTACTCTGTGTGCGTTTGTGTACGTTAGCAGCGAAAGTTGTCCGTCTACAATTTTTTTGATAAAAAGAGTTTGATTGGACAGTACATTACACTAATGTATATTAGGGCTGCATGATATTGGAAAAATCTGACATTGTGACATATATTGCAATATGAATATCATTTCATCAGATAATTTGATTAGCTCTATTTGGAAATAAATTGTTCATTTAGATCGACAGGGATGATCAAGTCTTTTTCTATGCAGTGCGGCTGCAGAAAATACAATAAGCTACAAGCATATAAACACAGCAGGGCAAAAATAAAAGATAAATAAATAAACAGTGCTTTATGGTTTTCTGGACAGTCATCAGAAATTGAACAATCAAATGTAAAATGGCATGGTCATTACTGTTTAAATCATTTTAATAGTAATATTTAATAATACCTTTTAACCTTTAATAAATAATCTAGTCCTGTGATGTGACTATTGCAAATACACACATTGTGATATCGCTGCTCATACGATATATTGTGCAGCCCTAAAGTTTATATTAGTTTCTTGATGCATGTTGGTGTTATTAAAGTTATTAATAACTCTGTTAATTCTTATTTGTGAATCAGACAGACTTGGGTTTAATCAGCGTGACCATTTATTTGGCTTTCTCTTGTTTATTTTCCAGTCCAAACAGAAAGATCTCCAGTACTGCATTTGGAAGGTAGGTCACTCCATATTTCTCTGCTCAGTGTTTGTTTGTGTAGTCTATGTTACTGTGTTAATCATTACTATGCTAGTTTGTCAAATTGTGCCAGCTTTCAAATGCCTTTTACTGCTTCAACTGATCATCTTCTGTGGTTTTGTAATTTGTTTTATGAATCTGTAATTTCTCGATGGTCATTTTTCTCATTTTAGTTTAGACAACAGTTCTAGATGAACAAAATCTTACAATGGAATAGAAACACATAGCTACAAATAATTGCATTTATGTAAGTACTCTAGATCAGTACTGGCAGTGCATTATTATGATCTGTACAGTAGTTTGCATAACCTACTTAGACAATATACATTTAAACAACAAAAATGGTCAATAAAACTCACTGTGAACTTCAGAGTTTAATTTCCAAGGTTAAAGGATTATCAGAGGTCAAGATCCCATGATTGATTAAAAATAATTAAATGCACAGAAAATGAATCATGAGCTATGATAAGCTAAGCACTAAAAAACACAAACATGCATGTCCATTTGGAAATCATTTATAATATCCAGCTATAAATCACAGTGAAAAGATGCTGAACTGTGAATAGAGATAAAGAAAGCAAAGCCACTGACAGAGCTGGATGTGTGTAATTTGTTTAATGTATTTTCATTCATTCATAATGCTTTCATTCATTCAATGCAATGCTTTAACAAGATTTGGAGAAATAAAGTGTAAATAAGGCAGACATGTCACATGAATTTATATCTGCATGCCTTTAAGATTAGGGCAGAAAGGGGGTGGGTGTTATAATATATAACACATGCTCCAATCATGTGAACAGGTAGAGTCATGTGGCAGACACAGCACATACTTGTACCTTTATAATTAATGCGATAGTTGACCCTGTAATATGCATTTATTTTGTATGGCCATACACCCAAAGTACTTTACAATCGTGTAAAAGGGTCTCTCCACACTGGCATAGGTGTGCAGCATTCACTTGAATGCTGCCATGGCAGCCACAGTGCGCTCACCACACACCAGGAGAAGGTGGAATGAAAAGACAGTTATAGAGCTAATTTAATGCCCAGGGATGATGGGTAAGGAATTCATCTATTAAATACAGAAGAAAATATTTTAAAGAAAGCTGGAAATCTGTAACCACTGACTTCTGTAGTATTTGTTTTTCCTACTATGGAAGTCAATTTTTACAGATTTTTAACTTTCTTCAAAATATATATTATTTTATGTTTAACAGAAAAAAAAACAACTTAAATGTTTGGCATGAGAGAGTACTGTAAAAAGTGAGGCCATTTTCTTTTTAAAGACAATTTTCACCTAAAAATGAAAATCCTGGCATTAATTCACTCTTGACTTGTTTCAAACCAGTTTGAGTTTTTTTTTTTTTGTTTTTTGTTCTGTTAAACACAAAACACATTTTTAGAATGCTGTAAAGCTGTAACCGCTGAATTCCAAAGTATTTATTTTTCACAGTATATCTGTTTAGAATGAACTAGCATGAACAAAGTAAAAACAATAAATAAAAACCATCCCCGTCTCCCTCTGTGGTTCTCAGAAATTAATTCAAGTGGGACAAGAGCATAGTGTCTGTGTCTGCGCATGTGTCTTACTGTTTGGCTCTGTGTGGGTGGGTGGACTGTTTCAGACACTGCACCACGATGCCTCTACTGGCAAGTTCTTTCTCTCCCTCATCACTGCAGTGCTCCTAAAGCATATGTGTTGGAAAGAACAAAAAGGTGGTCTGCTACAGGGGTGCAGCATGGGTAGCATAGTTGGCTGGAATTAATGCTGCAGTGTAGTTTAATCCAGCCATAGGAGGGAGCAGAGAGGTAAGTGGGAAGTTCCTCTTGCAAAATATAGCTGGCAGGATGGGATGTAAATACTGAAGGGTGCACAAAATGAACTAGTGCGGTGTAGAAAAAAATTAAATGTAACCACCTTGTAATGTCTTATTGGGAAGCATGATATTAATGATTAAGTTATTCCTGTCTTGTTTTGTGTTCATGCGTTAATGTGGGTCCAACAGGAAGCTGCTTCACAATAGTAACATCAGCAGTAGTAATGGCAGCACAGAAGATTTGTTTCATGATAGCACTGACTCCAGTGATCTAGACATTACAGAGAAGGTAAGGTCCATTCATAACATGCAGAGACATGCTGAAATATGTATAATTTGCTGAAATATATATTTTACAAGTATGTTAAAATATTTCAGAACATTTAAAAATTTGTTGTTTATTAAATGTATTCATAGAAAATTTAATAGAAACTCTACATTTGATGTCTAAAATGATACCACTATAACAATAAATACATAAGCACAAGTTACAGCTAAATATGTGGAGATGTGGATTTCTTGTACTCATAACTGTTTTTGAATTTTTTTAAATAATTTTAAAAGAATTAAAAATACAATCTCCGTGCATAGATGTATGCATAGGGTTTCATTACATTTACATTTACAATGTTGTAGCAACCTCATAATTTAATACAAAACATATTTAATACAATAGATAATTCTAGACTGTCATGAAATATTGTTGATGTTTCATTGCTGCTGCACATTGTTAAACCATGGGCTGTGTGAAAAGTGCTTCTGCTAAGGATCAGGATCACTAAAGTTTTGCACATAAACACTTGTAACACTTGTTGTTTCAGGAAAAGCTACTAATTCAGTGCTGATGAGAAAGTGGTTGCTTATCATTTTGTATAATTTATAACTTACCAAACAGGTAAGTTACTTGGACAAGAAAGTGACAGAGCTGGAAAATGAGATTCTGATGAGCGGGGATGTAAAAACCAAGCTGAAACAGGAAAATATCCAGTTGGTCCACAGGTAAACGCGTACCCTCTCTGCACACATTTTAAAACATATACACGGTACTCAACATTTGAAGTGACTCAAAACCTTTTATTAGAGTTGCCCCAAAACTACTGAACAACTGAACTACTAATGAACAATCAGGACTGTTTTTCATCAGGATCCATGAGCTGGAGGAGCAGCTTAAAGACCAGGAGACCAGAGCAGAGAAAATCATGGAAGATGAGCTTAGGAGACACAGAGATGCCTACATTCGACTGGAGAAAGACAAAAACACTCAGATAGAGCTGCTCAGAAACCGGTACATCACATTAACAACACTCCAGCACAAACTGATGTTTGTATTGCTGATGCTGTGACCAACACTACTTCTAAATGAACAATGTTAATTATGTTACTTGTGTCATGCTGTGAATACAGTACTACTTTCAGTGTTGGGGTACTTTTATTATGAAACATACACAGAGGGGTCTTTCTCAAGGGTGTTAGATACACAGTAATAGCAGTACATTATTGATGAGACCATTAGTAGTTTGCACTTGTGTGATAACAGTAGTTCCCCCCCCCCTTTTTTTTTCCCCATTGGTAGATTACATCAACTAGAGGACGAAAATGGAAAGATGGCAATGAATATGAACAGACTAAAATCTCAGACCGAGAAACTGGATGAGGTTGGAGTTTTTTTGTTGTTTTTTTTTTCATTCTTTGAGGTGGAGGAAATTGACCATTTTGATGTTGGTTTAATTAGTTAAAAATGAGGCTGTATGAATTCTTATAATTCTTGTAACGCAATGGGGGTGTTACAAAAGAGAATACAAAAATATTTACATGTTGGTTAGAATCTGAAGAATATTTGACTTAATTTTCTGTTTCCCAAATATTGATTTTAAATTGTGCTTTATAGACTATTATCCAAACTGCTTGCACTTCGCAGTAATAAGTAGGGTAAAAATAGCAAAAACAGTCATTTAAATTGTATGAAATATGTTTGGAAATATGAAGGAGAAGCAGAGGATGACTGATAAGCTGGAGGACACAAGCCTGCGGTTGAAGGATGAGATGGACCTGTACAAGAAGATGATGGACAAGCTACGGCAAAACAGACAGGAATTTCAAAGGGAAAGAGATACCATGCAGGAAGTAAGCCCATGTGCTAAAATGTGACATAAAAAATCTCTATATATGAAATAATCATGCAAACCTAGTAATGACAAGTGTGTTTATTATAGTTCTTTAGTTAATTGATTGTAAAGCCCCAGATTTGGTGAGCACAATCACAATATTTAGCAAGATATCTAAAACTATTCAAGTTTAGAATAAGAGCGCCAGGCTTTAGTTGTCTTCAGGCTTGAGTGCATATTTAAAAAAACTGAATTCTGGATCATTTAAATGTACTAACATAAAAGTAAAAGCACAGTTGCACAAAAATAATATTACACAAAAGAAGTTACACAAACACAATATTATTAATTTAGATATTAATTACTTGAATGTGTTTTTCTACCTGTCCCTAAAAACGTTATTCTGGTATTTAGTGGTTTCAAAAGTGTATTTTTGGATCCTTTTGCTTTGTTCAGCTCATCGAGGATCTTCGGCGAGAGCTGGAGCACCTTCAGTTATACAAGCTGGAGGCAGAACGAGCGGGACGTGGTCGCAGATCTTCCATTAGCCTATCTGAATACAGCAGCCGAACACGTGAGAGTGAGTTGGAACAGGAGGTCAGGAGACTCAAACAGGTGAGAGAGATGGACAAGCAGAGTTTCTAGACATTTTTTTATTTAACTTGCATAGTCATGTGTTCAATTTCATATGTTCTTTTGCAATTATGCAACTAACACTTTTTTTAAGTTTGTTTAATTTCTATTTGTGTATAATCAATGGTTACTTTTTAACCCCTTAAATCTGGATGTAATCTAACTAAAAAGTGATAAAAACCGTTCTTATTCATATTTCTTTGCGTACATACAGAGACGCATTTCCTGAAACATGTCCTTTGACCTCCAGCAGCTTTTGTCTGCTAAGACAGGACTCGTGACTGTAACTTATGTGCAGATTTAATACCCTCATTTGAACTACTAATTTGTTTATATGTGAGAAGTATGTTTTTAGATTTGTCTTCCCATCCAACATAGCCACACTTTTTGTAGGTTACAGATTTTGTAGTTCCATCTTCCTCTGAAAAGTAGAAGATTACACAAATAAATCAGAGGGTCTAAATGGAGCTGTTGCATTATTGGGAAAATAAATAAATAAATAATGGTTTAGCAGCAATTTACATCAAGCAAATAATCTCAAGCCCAAATGCATTCATCTGTCCATCATATGCTTTCTGTCTAACCAAATTTTCTTCTTTCAGTTACAAGTAGGTCGCAACATTAAAGAAATCAGGTTAACTGTTATAGCCCATCTTTTTAGGGTAAATCTCCTCTCATGCTTTCTTTTGACAGGAGAACCAGAAACTGAGGGAACAGAATGAAGATCTAAATGGTCAACTTCTCAGTCTGAGTCTCCATGAGGCCAAGAACCTGTTTGCCACACAAACAAAAGCACAGTCTCTGGCTATGGAGATTGATCATGCATCCCGTGACCAGGTAAGGGAAGTAAAGGACTTTGTTCTGTAAAGGGGATAGAGAACATGACTTTGATCTACTGATGAAATTGGATCATGCTAAAAGATATTGGTTAATAGTTACGATACTTGAATGCGCACCTGTAAATAAAAGACTATATCTGTCTGTTGTTTTCTGGAATAGTCTCTGAAAAAGATCATATTGCCCTAAAAAATGAGAGACCTTTGTGAGTAACTTTGTGAGTAAATTAATTTCTATAAAGAAATGCCAATGGAGAAAGAAAGCAGGATGGCCAGTGTTTCCATGACTTTTTCTTAAGCCAGATTTGCATATGGATAGGACCGAAATTAGTACACACAATCTTTGCCTCATCAACAATTCTCAAAACTCCTTACTTTTTTTTTTTCCAATTTGTGTTGAGGTTTAATTGGAAGCTCAAAATGCATTGACATGTTCTGAGTCTGTCTAAACAACTCCAATATAATTCTAAAACTTTTTCCTTTCTCGCAGTTATTGGAAGCCCTCAAGCAACAAGAGGAGATAAACCTCCGTCTCAGGCAATACATGGACAAGATCATTTTGTCAATTTTGGACCACAATCCATCTATTCTGGAAATTAAAAACTAAACGTGTGTTATGAACTGTTTAAAAGCAGCCATGGACATAGAGCTCCTCCCAAGGAAGGAAATGATCTCCAATGCCTCTGATTGCACAGTAACTACAATGTGATGGTGTTTGTGCACCTTTTCCACATTACAAAAATGAAAGAAAATGTATATACAGTGATGAAATATTTCAAGCACTTTTAAGGGGCATTTTTGCTGCTCAAGAGGGATTTCACTCAAATAACATTATGGTTAATCAATTGCACCAACTTATATGTGACTGTTTTAGCACTGGGTGCTCATCGAGTATGTTTGTGTTGTATGAATCATTGTTAGCTATGTTTGCACTGGGATGTAATGAGACTACATAACAAAGAAAGAACCATATGACTTTCAGAGTTGCTGTGTATGATGAAATGAAAGAGGTTTTTATAAGTAAACATGCAGTTATTTTGGTGAGAGAAGTATTTTTGACCATCTTCCTATTTTATGATATGTGAAGTAAAGGAAATTAGAGAAAAATACGATCTGATAGGTGATCGAAACTGGTACTTGATAACACTGCCTGTGGTAAAAGAATTTGTTTTAGAGCAATGCAATGAGTGCCCATTGTTATGTTTGCAATGCAATGTTGAGATGTTTATTCTGATATTATCTGGCCTTTAAAAAGCGGAAGACTGAATGTGAACTGTCATTGTGAATGTACCAAATAAGTAGTATTTCAGGTTATTTACAGGCTTAATAATAATACTAATAATGCACTTGTCTGTTTATCCGCTGAATTGTTTTCATAATGGCCTTAAAGGGACTTGTTCTTCCTAACTGAAGTACAGTTAATTATTGTAGATGCAACATACACATGATTTTGTTTATTATGCAGATCTTGAGTAATTTAGGAAAAATAAATAAACATGCACATCAGATAATGCCAGTCTACAACAAACTATGAAATTTGGGGAAATAAAAACAAAAAAAAAAAGACAGCACATTGATCTTTAATTTTCACTAGGTCCTTGTTGAATAAGGGATCAATTCTTCCATCAATTTCATAATAATAATAATAATAATAATAATAATAAAGGCTTTTTTCTGAATACTTGAGTCTGAATTCTTTGACTTCAAAATATATTTTAATACACTTATTTAAGATTTTAATTAGCTTATTCGTTTTATATATATATATATATATATATATATATATATATATATATATATATATATATATATATATATATATATATATATATATATACACACACACACACACACACACACACACACACGTTTTTAAATTAAAATTCACATAATGGTAAAAAAGAGGTAACTTAAGGGATGCAACAAGAACAAAATCGGGTAGTGAGTGGAGTATTGTTCACCAGCAGAGAGCGCTAACAGTTACACTGCCTACTTGTTTGCGCGCCACCACTTTTTCAACAATGAAGAACAGAGACGCCGGCCGGTGTAACACCTGTTGCAAGGTATTTGAAGTATTAATATGGCCATGTTAATTTAACACATTACTGTTTGTATGTACGACAAACCAGGACCTAAACATTGTGTATTTTTTCCCCCTTATAATGCTAAAACATTATTCCTACACACCATGATGAAATGATTCTTCTAAAATGAATAGGGAAAACAATAATCGACTAAATATACTTGTCAGAGTACTTTGTAGCTAATCAAACATCCATGCTAAAAAGCATTTTAGTACAGTTTCCAAAAGCACATTAATATTTCAAAAGTTGTAATTACACAGTTACTTGCTGTTAGCAAAACAACCAAATACAAAATGTGAATTTTACCAGAACCTCTCGGTGGGGTATGGCAAGAGGAAACATGATAATACACATTAAAACAAACTAACAACAACCAAGCCTTTTGACACTCACAATGGGTCGAGTATTTCAAAATGTAACGTTCGGCCGAAATTCCTTTCATTGTTCTTGCAGTTTCTCTTAATTTAGTATCGACTGTATAATTGATTAAAGTTCAACGTAGACAGCACAGGGCAACACCTGACCTGACACTGAGAAAATGGAAGCGTGAGTGTGATTTCTTGAGTTGACTACATGTAATATTGCAATCAGCTTAATTTGCAAGTGATAATTAGGATGGTAACATTACAATGAGTGTTTAGCAAGCCACCTTAATTCAGCGTCTTTGTAATAATCCTCGTGACCTCGTGTTTTCTTCCAGCCCATCATGTTTGGCTTTGCCACTAGAGGGCGCTAGTCACCTTATTAGTTTTATGTTCAGTTCGCTGAATCCTCATCCTCAGTTACATTGTAGTGTAATTTTACCAGAGTGAAAACAGGTAGCAGGGTAGCTGCTCGCAACAGAGCCATCGTCTTGGAGTCAATTAACATCTGTAGTTTGACTGGAACAAAAGTCAAACCCGTAAGTCTCTCTCAGTAGTGTGTAGTTCATTCATAAACGCGCGTGTTGATAAATGCAAATTAGACACAATGTTAGCATGATATACAGAACTAGTTCATCACGGCGCTGCATTTGGTTGTTTGGGACAAGATTAATTTCTGTCACAAATATGTGATTTTAAAAATATCTTGGCAAGTTGAGGACAACTAATACATATTAATATGGAAAAACAAAAATGTTAATGAAACGAATGAAAACAATCTTAAAAGCTAAATTACTGTGTTTAAAAATTTTGGCACTTGGCTCTATGTTCACAAATGCAATCATGAAGCTGAGTTATATATCCAACACTGAATGGAGAATGGAATGTTACGTGTTGCTGACTTATACATTTAAATACTACAGCACTTTGGAGAAGAACATAACTGTGTGACTTTTTGCCTCAACTTTAAAGTGAATAAAAAAGAAGAAATGCACCCAAACAAGTGGAGGCAAAAAAAGGGAAAGAAAACCTTTCGTCGGACGGTGAACCACACGGTACAACCACAGAGTCCTGTTCAGGAGGAGGACTGGGAAAAGGAGTTAGAGGAAATTTCACAATCCATAGAAATGCAGAAACAGCCTCCTTATGGTAATTTCATTTACTGAAGTGAATGATGTTTTATTTAAAAAATGGTTTGCAAGAAACTATTTAAACTGTGATTTTCATAGTTGTTTTCTTCAACAGATTCTAGAGATGTTTTGATGACGGACATAAAGGAGATTTGCCACTGTAACATCCAGAATGACCCAAGCTCTGTCCAGGGACACTACAGCCCAGCAGTCCACCACATTCAGCCTGTGAAATGGGTCCGCTGTGTTTATGCAATAGTTGATGAGCAGTTTGCAGATGCTGAAGATTAAGGCATTTAGAGAATAAATTTGAATTGATTTCCTTTAAAATCTGCTGAGTTCAGGCTAATGTTGTTTTAACTAGTTTTGTTGTTTTTAGTGAGCTGTCTGCATTTATGTTAATTAATTATTGATATGTTGATATGTAAATGCAGAGCTTTCATAATTGCAGCTATAGTTCATTTTGCAAATCCAAGTATATTTTTAATCTCTGTTAAAGTACGGTTTTGAATTTGATTGTATACCTATAACGTAATGCATTACAATGTTAAGCTGCTATAACAGGACGTCAAAAGGAGTTGTGTTCTTATGTACAATTATAACACATTAATTGATAATTAAAAAAATTGCATTGATTTGTGCAGTCGTTTTACACGAGTTTCCACTAGGTGGCTCTGTTTGCTCAATTTTCAGAAAAGCTTGATCCTGCCAGATATTAGTCTTGATAGATTTGTCTTTAATAAGATTAATAAAAAAAAAATCATACATATGATATTTTCAAAGTTGTCTGTCTCAACTTTGAAAATGTTCTAAGTCATTGCATCGAGGTAATGTGATGCACTTTATCATTGTTCTGTGTAAATTAAAGTGGTGTTTGTTAAACCAGTGTTTCCCAACCCTGTACCTAAAATCACACCAACAGTACACATTTTCAACCTCTTTTTAATCAAACACACCTGAATCAGCTCATCGAAACAAAAGAAGAAACTCTTAATGGGTCAGATAAGGGAGACATCCAAAATATGTTCTGTTGGTGTGCCTCCAGGAACAGGGTTGGGAAACGCTGTGTTATACATCATCACATTGACTTTTTGTTCTCTGCCTTTTTTCAGGCTACTCTCAGATGTCTAAATGTTAATAATTTGTTTAAAATGTGTTTTTGAACAAATGTGGTTTTTGAAGTCACTTAAAGAACTTAAATGTCACATTATCTGGGATTACAACATTTCAGTTCACTGCCCTGTTTGATAAGTTTCTTTTTTTTCATTAAATTACTAAGTATTCATTAATTCATTCATTATTTAAAATGATTAAAAAATCAGCAAAATTGCCTGTAGTGTATGTGTGTGAATGCAAAAGTGTGTGGGTGTTTCCCATTGTTGGGTTGTGACTGGAAGGGCATCCGCTGTATAAAACATATGCTGGATATGTTGGCGGTGCAAACAATCGTTCAGAGATTTAACTGCCAGTTGGAACAACTTTATTACCTCAAATTCAATCCACTAAGACTTTTAAGATCAGATAGTAACAAGTTAGTTTGAATTTCTACAATATTCAGAAAGGTGTTCTACAGAGTTTTTGACAAATGACACTTTTAGTGCAGCTGGCTTTTTGGGCAAAAGTTTACAGAGACTTTAATATTTGAAACATTAGGGCAGGGCTGTGATATTTTGAAATGTCTGGCAAGGGTAAAAGCATGCTTATTGGTACAGTACACTGTAAATTCTAACATGTTCAGTTTACTTAAAAAAAGTTTGGAAACCGATTGCCTTATTTTTGCAATATAAACTTACAAGGAAATCTTAAGTTAAGTTTAATTATTGCCTTGAAGTAAGAAAACTAAAACTTATAAAGTAAACTAACTGTTAAAAATTAAGTAAGTTTAATAGAAAATTCTAGTTAACATACTTGTCATTATTTAGTAATCTTACTTAGGGTTTTATAGTAAGATTACTTTAATAACTCTATTTAACTAATACTGTTCTACCATGTTCAGTTAACATCTTGAATGCTAGTAGTCTCAACATTGTTTTAATCCACCATTTTAAGTAATGTCAACTAAAGAAACTACGTGCAATCGGTTTCCACATTTTCTTCAATTAAACTGAACATAAAATATGTAGTTCAACCTACAAGTAATGACATTATACAGGTCTTAAATGTAAACATTTTATTTGACAAAATTAGCAGAATTTCACAATACACTTGTGATATTTTAGTATCACAATACA